CAAAGCCCCAGTAGATAGTTGTATGTCATAACTGCACATCCTTCTAGTTGCTGTACGTGGGACGTGGCCTCAGCATGGCCGGAGAATCGGTGCGTCGGTGCGCGCCCGGGATCCGAACCCGGGCCGCCAGTAGCGGAGCTCGCACACTTAACCGCTAAGCCACGGGGCCGGCCCAGGAATGAAATTCTGATACACGCTACAACACAGATGAACCTTGAAAACATGACACTGAGTGAAATAAGCCAGACACAGAAGGATAAATATTGTATGATTTCACTTATATGAGGTACCTAGGATAGACAAATTTAGAGAGAGAGAAAGTAAAATGGAGGTTACCTGGGGCTGAAGGGAGAGGAGAATGGAGAGTTATTGTTTAATGGGTACAGAGTTTTTGTTCGGGATGATGAAAAAGTTCTAGAAACGGATAGTGGTGATGGTTGCACAACATTATGGACGCACTTAATGCCAATCCACAACTGTGCATTTAAAAATGGTTAAAATGGTAAATTTTATGTTATGCATATCTTACCACAATAAAAAACGGTTTGTGAAGGCAAAAAAAAAAAGCCTCTAAACGACTAACAGAATCACATATAAATCCTCTCTCTAAAAAAATACAAAATTTCAATGCAAGCCTCAAATGAGTTTCAAAGAATGTGAGTTCACAACCAAAAATATCATGAAACAGGAGAAAACAAGTCATCATGAGCAAATCTGAAACTTTTTTATACATGTACCTTACACGTTGGACAAATAAGTAAATAAACAGTAGATAATGGGAGCAAGGTTTCTCCCTATCAGAGAAAGAAGTTACAAATAAGCAAGAGAGGAAAGCTAGAATGAACTCTGTCCATTCTAGTAGTGTTAGATTAGAGTAAGAGATACCAGTACGAACTCGTATTTATTTAATACATATACTGATGGATAGATACAGAAACAAATACAGATATGTGCTGGACCGTGGGTTAGTATACAGAGCTAAGGCTCTGTCCTGTGAGAAGGTCTAGAAGCAGTGACACCCATTCGCCACAAGCATACCCACAACCAGATCTTGATTTCTAAATACCTTTCTCCAATAAAAGGAGCCACGGCTCCTAGAAGAAATGACTGATTCTAGGGATGAGGTAGGAAAAACACAAGATAAGCCTGGAGTATTTTGTAGTGCCAGAAAGCAGGGGGTGGCTTTTTCAAAAAAAAGATAAGGGCATGTCAAAAGGTTACAGGAGCAAGAACCTCCCAATAGCCAAACAAAGGTGGAACAATTTTAGCAAAAATAAATAAAAATAGTACTGGATTATAACCTCCCAAATAAAATAAATTTTCATGAGTCTATACCAATATAAATGATTAAATAAATAAATAAATAAATAGGGAGAAGAGACACATCTTCCTTACAGAAGAATTCCAAATGCTGTATGACAAACTCTCCCCTCCTTCCTTAATTCCCCTTCCCTTCAGTATACGCTGGACTTGGTAACTCACTTCCAAAGAGCTGACTATAGAAAGGGGAAAAAAGTGAATTGACAGTGAGAAACCTCACAGGCACTATCTCAGCCAAGTGATCAAGGGTAACATCAACAGTGATGTCATATTCATAGCATATACTGGTTAATACGATGTAATAAAAATGCCACTTCAGCTCTGTGGTCTTGTTCCCAAAAACCCATAATCCCGGTTTAATCATGAGAAAACATCAAATAAACTCAAACTGAGGAACATTCTACAAAATACCTGACCAGTATGCTTTAAAACTGTCAAGATTATGAAAAACAAGGAGAGATTAAGAAACTCGCAGATCAGAGGAGACTAAGGAGACATGACAACGAAATGCAATGGGGTACCTGAATTGAACAGAAAAAGGACATTAGTGAAATAACTAGTGAAATTCAAATAAAGTATGTAGTTTAGGTAATAGTATTATACACATGTTAATTTCCTAGTTTTTGACAAAGGTACTATGACTATATGAGGTGGTAACATTAGAGGAAGATAAGTAAATGGTATATAGAAACTCTCTATAACATCTTTGAAATTTCTCTATACATCTAAAATTATTCCCCCAAAAATGTTTTTAAAAACTGAAGGTAAAATGAACCTGTGTTTAAAAAAAAGACAGGGTTAGGTGAAAGTTATGTCACCAGAAAGAAAAGGTAATAAACTACAACGATTATTAGGCTAATAAAACTCTTTATCCAGCAACTAGTATTTATCAACTGAGAGTTAGGCAAGTTAACCAAAAAGGCCACTAAGCAATAAAAAGCCAACAGATGTTATATTTATGCACTAAAGGAACTGAAGCTCTGTACACACAATTCTAACAAATCTAATCATGTGATTTTCTAATTGACAACAGATTAGAACCTATGAATTAATAAGTGAAAGAACAGTAACCTCATGAAAGTAACAACTGCCAATGAGAAAACATCAATTCTAAAATGCAAACAAATTTTAAAAACATAAGTTTAAGGCAACCTGGAATACAGACAAAAACTTAAAATCTTCAAAAGTCATTGCAAGTATCACCACATTTCAATATCCTGCTATGGCTGACATTCGTAATAATGAAAATTAAGTCCACTATACTCCACTAAGAAAATTGAGAGGAAGGGGGCTGGCCCCGTGGCTTAGCAATTAAGCGCGCGCGCTCTGCTACTGGTGGCCCAGGTTCGGATCCTGGGTGCACACCGACGCCCCGCTTCTCCAGCCATGCTGAGGCCGCGTCCCACGTACAGCAACTAGAAGGACGTGCAACTATGACATACAACTATCTACTGGGGCTTTGGGGAAAAAAAAGGAGGAGGATTGGCAATAAATGTTAGCTCAGAGCCAGTCTTCCTCAAAAAAAAAAAAAAAAAATTGAGAGGAAGGAAAGATAGAGGCTAAGGAGAGGTCTCAGTTAAGTATCACAAATTAAATACATGCATTTTTCTCCATAACCTCCACTTAAATGACAGTAATGGAAGGAAGGGAAAAAGTAGAAACCCATAAGAACAAAAAGAACCCAGAAAGGAGATAAAGGAAGATGAGAAAGATAACTAAATCGAAGAAAGATGAAAATTTGATGGATGGGTAGGAAGTGATTTAGTTGACTAAGAGAAAGCAAACCTAAATGTCTATGAGGGCACAAATATTACCAAATTGACACAAGAAAAAGAAGATTTGAACACTGCTGTATCAATAAAAGAAATTGAATTATTACAAATCTTTCCATAAAGAAAAACTCAGACCCAGAAAGCTTGTCCAGTAATTTCTTTCAAACTTTTACGAAATAGCAACAAATTTACCTAAACTCTACTAGCAAGTGAAAAAAGAAGGAACGCTTTGCAGCCATTTTATAAAGTCAGAATACCTGATCCCAAACCTGACAATGACATTCAAGAAAGAAAAATTACCACTCTCTCATGAAAACAGATATAAAATCCTAACTAAAATATTAGCAAATCAAACCCTGTGATAAAGAATAATATATTAC